AAATTAAATATTCATGTCATCTTTTGAGGTTGAAACCTATGATGTTAGGATGTAGGAGCTGATCAAGTCATCTTATCGCCATCTTTGCTGTTATTGCTTGCACAAAGATACATTTCAACCTCATTTTTGCCCCCTAAAAATGGTGGCTTAGTACTTAGGAGCAATATTATTGTTTAAGGTGTTTTCTGGATTTCTATGTTGTCATTTAAATTTAAATTTTGTTGATGGCAGCTGGCTCTTCTGCTGCAACAACTGGAACAGCTGAGGGTGACGTATTAAAGGCCTTGTCTCAAATCATTGATCCGGACTTTGGAACGGATATTGTCTCCTGTGGTTTTGTGAAAGATCTGCTCGTTGATGAAGCTTCAGGAGAGGTCAATTCTATGTTGGAAGATTTCCATAAAATACCCTAAAAAGAGTGGGGGGGGGGGAAACACCTGCTAAGAAGTTTCAACTTCACATTGCAGGTTTCCTTCCGCTTGGAGCTTACTACACCAGCATGTCCAATCAAGGAAATGGTAAATCATATAACCACCATTGTTTGATCAACAACTGACGTATATTTGGAATGGTAGACCTTTGTTTCATATATTAAACTTAAAACTGACTAGTAAAATTGATGGTACTCTTTTGAAACGTAGAACTTACATAGGCTAGTCTGATGATGCTTTTGGTATTTTTCCTTTTTGCTTTCTGTAATTTTCTACATGAAAAAGCAAAAGAAGTAAATAGTAAAAGCATCAACTAGACAGAAGGAGCCTTAGTTTTCCTTTTCCTTTCTTGCTTGTCCATTGTGCACATTTTGTGTGTGGATATAACTGCACTATGCAGATTATTTTCGGGTGATGCATCTTCAATGATCAATAATGTTATGTCTACCGCCACATGCATTTGCAAATGGAAATAGATATGATCTTTGGGACGATTGTGAAATGGCAAATCTAACAAGATTCTTAGTGCTTGACAGTTTGAGCAACAAGCAAATGAGGTAGTGGCTCGGCTTCCATGGGTGAAGAAGGTCAATGTGACCATGTCAGCACAACCAGCCAAACCTATTTTTGCTGGAGAACTTCCAGTTGGTCTGCAGAGAATTTCAAATATTGTGGCGGTTTCAAGTTGCAAGGTTAAGTTTTCAGAAATAATTGGTTATTGTCTTCCTCGAAACTACGGTTTAATGTTGAATGTGTTGTTTATTTTTGTCATAACTCCTGCTTGGGAAAAACTCTGTAGGGAGGTGTAGGGAAATCAACTGTTGCTGTAAATCTTGCATATACTTTGGCTGGAATGGGAGCTAGAGTAGGTGTTTTTGATGCTGATGTTTATGGACCAAGTTTACCAACAATGGTCTCCCCAGAAAACCGATTGCTAGAGATGGTAGTATTCAGAGCTTGAAATTTCATTTACTTGCACATAGGTGCTGTTCTGACTCTTTAAAATCTTACTGTAGAACCCAGAAAAGAGGACAATCATTCCAACTGATTATTTAGGAGTCAAGTTGGTATCCTTTGGATTTGCTGGACAAGGTCGTGCAATAATGCGAGGTCCAATGGTTTCTGGGGTCATCAATCAACTTCTAACAACTTCTGAATGGTATGATGTGCTACTAAATATGTTTGAGGTTGTTTAGAAGCATTTTTTGAACTCGTGACTTAAAAGATTTTTTTTTGTGAATTGCTTTAATAAATCTGCATATTTTCTATCTTGTTGGAATTCTTAACTCTGTGGAATTCTATGCACTTTGAAAACCTGACTAATTCTACTTTATAGGGGAGAGCTTGATTATCTTGTTATTGACATGCCTCCTGGAACTGGTGATATCCAGCTAACTCTATGCCAGGTTCTTTTCTATGGTCATCTCCCCCCCCCAACATATCATATCTTCTTTATAGTTTTTATATTTTTCTATTCGTTTTGTAGAAGGAAATTAGAATAATTATCTTGTTATTGACATGCCTCCTCAAACTGTTTTTTACTGTTGCTTAAAATGAATATCAGGTAGTCCCATTAACAGCTGCCGTTATTGTTACCACCCCTCAGAAGCTAGCATTTATTGATGTGGCCAAAGGAGTTCGCATGTTTTCGAAACTTAAGGTTTCCCCTTTACCAGACAAAAAATTCTCCTTTATGCCTTATAATCACTTAACTTTAGATCATTTCATACACTCTACTTGCTTTTATGTATATTTCAACATAAATGTCTGAAAATATGGTTTGACAGTTATCAGAAGGTAAAACTTTTCTTCTTGCCTCGTATATTCAAATTCTGTGCCATTGTTAATGCATATAGGTGCCATGTGTTGCTGTGGTAGAAAATATGTGTCACTTTGATGCGGATGGCAAACGCTACTACCCATTTGGCCAAGGTTCAGGTTCTCAGGCATGCACTATTTTCCAGAACTTAATTTTCATGCCTAATAGATAGTCAAATAATTTATAGCGCTATACTCAGCTCGTTATTGGTATATCTTTTGTGCACACAAAAAACTGCATAACTGATCATTTTACCGGCTTTGCAGGTTGTCCAGCAGTTTGGGATCCCTCATCTTTTTGATCTTCCCATTAGACCAACTGTATGTCCTATGATTTCTGTCCATGCTTATCTAGTAAAGCTTGATTTTCTGTTGCATACATGAGACTAGTCCTGTTATTAATTGGCTAGAAAACACACTGCATCAGTTTTTGCTCTGCACTTACACGACATACAGCTAGTATATTTTCCATAATATAATTATGCACTGAACATCCTTCTCTATGGTAGACAAATTTGCATTTAAGCATTAAGACCCTTTTATGCAAAGTTTACGGCTTAATAGATAATATCATTGACGTGCTTCTTTGTAATTAAATCCTATAATTATTTACTAATAAGAATTTAAAAAAGAATGTGTTGAATTTGCTGGAAGTCCTATTCAAGTTTATAGTTCATTACATTTAATTTTTGCAGCTCTCTGCATCTGGTGATGGTGGAACGCCTGAAGTGGTGGCTGATCCTCAAGGCGAAGTTGCCAAGACATTTCAAGACCTTGGAGTATGTGTCGTGCAACAGTGTGCCAAGATTCGCCAGCAAGGTACTTACATTATCATTTGCTTTTCCGATACTTGGTCCTTTACGAGTTGCTCTTGATGAAAGAAACGCGTTTTTTTCTCTTATCTCCTTTGGTTCTAGTATCAACAGCAGTTACCTATGACAAATCCATCAAGGCCATAAGGGTTAAGGTACCCGATTCAGAGGAAGAATTCCTTCTACATCCTGCAACAGTAAGACGGAATGACCGCTCTGCCCAAAGTGTGGTAAGTATGTTTTTTCTTATACATCCGCGTGTGTGTGGTGCTTCAGAATTGTCTAACCAATTATTTGCAAGTATATCATCTTGTCTCGTTCCCGTAGAACTGGTGCAAAAGAAACTCCAAGTCCACAGGCACATTCTTAGAATTTTTAGCCTTCACGTAGTCCACAGATTAATCTAGATGGTAGAAGCAATCAAAATTCTTTGTTAGAACAGTGGAACGGCGATTTTCCGCCAACGAAGTGTTTCTTTCTAGCAATTTAAATGCTATTCAATAGACCATTTGACTAATGATCAGAACAAACAATTTGTTACTTTCTAATAAGAAAATGTGAGCCTTGAAAAGTCTGCCCATGTGTTTCACCAGAAGTTTGAAATTTCTTCTTTCCCCCCCCCCCTTTATGTTTAGTCTTCTTTTTCTTGGTTTAAAACAGGATGAGTGGACCGGGGAGCAAAAGCTGCAGTACACTGACATTCCGGAAGATATCGAACCTGAAGAAATTCGGCCTATGGGAAACTATGCCGTGTCAATTACATGGCCAGATGGATTTAGCCAGGTGATAATACTTGTTTCCTTTGCCTTGGATGACTGGTTTTTGTTCACTTCTACACTGTGACAGATATTATTATCAGTCAGATATCTACCTACCAACCTAATGCTAACATTAAGATAAACATCATTTCCTAGTTAGGACTTAACAGGACAACGGAGTACTCCGTATTCGACTACACTTCCATGCTTTCGGCTTAACCTTCAGTATTATCAGTTTCTATAATAAAATGGATTAGCAGTTCAACGATTGACAGAGTACCATTATGCCTTTTAATGTACCATTGTCATTCTTTTTTTTTAAAAAAAAAATACCATGACGCAGATAGCACCGTATGATCAGCTCCAGATGATTGAGCGTTTAGTTGATGTTCCTCAACCAACAGCCGTCCAATCATGATGATATAAGTTTCCTCTTATCGTCTGTGGCGTATTCTGATGGACACCTTGATTCCGCCAAACAAAGCCTGTTGGAGTCAAATGAAACCGAAGGGAGTTTAGGGCATGACTTGGAACACAGTTACCTCAATTTTAAGGATAGAGCTTCCATGCAATTCCAGGCATACTATACATATGTATGTATTAGGCAGAAACAATTCAAGTATAAATTTTCTCTTCAATAATTCTACGCATATAATTTAATTTCGCCTGCAATTGCATTTCTGAACCTCATCTATTGGTGGGAAGTCAAGGTTCAAGAGAAGCTTTACTCTGCAACAACAAAAATGTGTTATTCAACGTTCCAAACAAAATCAACAGTCGAGTTAGAATCTAATAATCAAAGATCCAATTATAGTAAAATACTTAAGCTTTTAAATTATTGAGTTCTCGGGATCATATAATGATTTCTGTCTGAGATGTACAGTAATATTTTCCCCATATATTTTTGGGAAGTAAACTTTTTATGTATCTTTTCTACATTTTTTTAGAACCCAAAAAATTGAGGGACTAGATAAAAATTATCCCGATAATTGGGGACTATTTCCGTATTTTATCCTAGATTTTATTATAATTAAAGTATCATAATAAAAGTCAACCCAAGCTTTTCTTCCACAAACAAGGATCAGTTATCATCACGTTAATCATTTCGGTGAGGTTTATACTTGCTTTATGACTTCTGCTACGGAACGGGCAAAACGTTGCCGTTTGGCTATATATTTCCTCTATATATTTTAATGAACCACTGCTCCCTATAACCAAACCCAGACCAGTAGCAGAGAGATGTAACCAAAAATCAGCTTCAGTTTCAGTTTTCACCTTCCTGTCTCTCTTGTCTAGGAATAACTAGTTCCTGCTACTTAATTTGTTCCTAATATGTCGATGCCACAAACGAATCTTCAAGCAGCCATGAACGCAAGAATACTTGGGTCTGGGTCCGAGACAATGGTTCTTGCTCACGGATTTGGAGGAGACCAGTCTCTCTGGGACAAAATCCTTCCTTACTTGACGAAACATTACCAGGTTCTCGTTTTCGACTGGCCCTTTTCTGGAGCTGTAAAAGATCCCAACCTCTATGATCCTTTGAAATACTCGTCGTTCGATGCCTTTGTTAACGACTTAATAGCTCTAATGGATGAGCTTCACTTGACATCCTCAGTCTTTGTCGGTCATTCCATGTCTGGTATGATCGGATGCATTGCTTCCATTAAAAAACCACAACTTTTTAACAGGCTCATACTAGTTGGAGCATCTCCTAGGTACTTGTTTCTTCTTTCCTTTACAGTGCCCCTGTTTTTTAATTCTAGAAAAAAAATGCTTTTGCTATAGATAAATGAGTTTTTTTTTTTGTAATTTAATTAACACAGGTACATTAATATAGACGATTATGAAGGTGGGTTTGATGCTGCAGCAGTTGCCGACATGCTCACCAGCATAGAATCAGACTATGAGAATTGGACAACTAGTTTCGCCAAGCTTCTTGTGGACAACAATGATCCACACTCCGTTGAACACTACTTAAAATGCTTGAAGAGTACGAACCAAGAATTTGTGCTCCCATTAGCCAAGACGGTGTTCCACAGCGACGAGAGGGAAACTCTGGAGAAGGTTACCATTCCCTGCACCATTATTCAGACAAATGACCTTGTGGTTCCAGATTCTGTCGCCTACTACATGCAGAAGAAGATCAAAGGGGAGACAACAGTGGAGATCGTCAAGGCTGATAGGCATTATCCTCAATTGACTGCACCTCTTGACTTCCTTCATGTGCTGGCTCGAGTTTTGGGCTTTCAGATTTGAACAGAAAATAATATAAAATTAGAAATATTAAGATATCTATCTATCTACCCACACCAAAAAAAAATACTTCTTATGAAGTGAAAAACATTTTCATAATTGTACGATGGGTTTTTCTTTTATGACAAGCAATGTTCTAAAGTTAGTGTGATTTGCGCCATTATAGTTGGCTTTAATCTTATTTTATTAGTATAAACTTAAGATAAAGGCCCTTAAGTAGTCCAAAACTGTCCCTTCTATCAGTGATCCAAATTCCAAAATTAATTGCCATTGGAAAGGTCCTTAAGTGCGTTCCTTGTTGGTTGTATGTAAATCGGGCCGATCGGCCCCATAAGGGAAAGAGCCAAGAAGAACCGCTGCCCGTAATAGAAAATTCATGCCCATCATTTAGAAGATAAGGTGGGTCCAAATCGGATATGTTCCTTGTTATATATATATATAAAGAAGTCTAAAAGCGTTTGTTGATTGAACTGAATAAATTATCTGATGAAAAAATTTGTGTTATTTAAAGTGAGTCCAATTTAGTTATTGTTACATCTATTATAAATGATTTAATTTAATAAATGCATTATAATATAATCATAAATGGAATAATAAATAATTTATATAAATCTTCTTCCACTCTTATGAAGTTAATTTAAGGAGTGTTGTTCCTTTTTAGATAATTTTAATTAAGCAATTCCAATAATTGCTCATTATACTAGTAAAGAATAAAAGCCAATGTTTTTAAAACAGGACCGGACCTTGAACCGATGAAGATACTGGTTCACTAGTTCAATCAGATTCAACTACGGTTCAACCGGATTCAACTGCGGTTCAATCGGATTTTATATAAATTAATATTTTTTTAAAATTTTACATAATATTCAAAACAATATTAATATATACATAACACTTTTTTTAAGTTTACAATATTAAAAGGTATAAAAATATCACAAGTCATAACATATATAAGTTAAAAAAACATAAAATCAAGTTAAACAAAATGATTCAAATCAACTACAACATAATATTTAATGTAAAACATATTAAATAATAAATATAATTATATAACTATAATCAAAAAATAAAATTGGGGCTGAAAAAAATCATAACAAACGATGTTGTTTGGTTTAATTTTTTTTTAAAACAATCTCACATGACTAAGAAACATAGAAGAGCATCCCAAAAGTCTAAAGAGTAAAAATATGATAACAAAACAATCTCACATGGCTAAAAAACATAGAAGAGCGTCCCAACTGACTTCTATAAATACTAGAAGTAATTTGACATTCAAAATCATGAAGCCTTTTGGTGAGCACATAGCGAATTATTCTTTCGCTTCAATTGAGCTCGAATTTCAGGCTTCAATCGAGTTTCTAAATTTTTTTTTGAGTTCGATCCATTTTGAGTTCAAGTTTCAATATTATATTTTGAGTTCGAGTTGAACTTGATAATTTTTATCTTGTGAGTTTTTGAGTCGAGTTGAGTTTACTTTTAAAGTTTTCGAATTCGAGTCGAGCTTAGCAGTACTCGAGTTCGACTCGGCTCGTTTAACAAATGACGTTGTTTGGTTTAATTTTTTTAAAGAAAAAAAGAGAACCGACGGTTTACACCAATTTTACTGGTTTTCAGCCGGTTCATCCCGGTTTTACCGGTTCTCAGCCGGTTCTTTACCGATTCTGTGCTCATCCGATTTTAAAAGATAACCGAATCATACAGACATCCGATTCACGGTTCAACCGGTCGAACCGACCGACCTGATAAAAGCACGTGATATTTTATAATATTAGAGATATAAATTATATTCATGATTTTTATTCTCCGTGAGATGTTTAGGTCCCAGGAAAAACACGTGCAAAATGACGACAAGAAGGGAAGTTCTTTCCGCTAAACAAATGCGTTATCGATTTTAATAATAATAAAATCGATAATATTTTTTTAATTGTATATTAAGAATACAAAGTAAAAAATGCTACGTATGGAATAGACGATAATCAAATGTGGTGGGGGCGGCATGGTTCTTTTTCAGCAATCGGCACTCAGCACTTTTAAGTTGAAATCCTTGTTAGATGTTTTCTCTTTCGAATTTACTGTTTTGTCCTTTTCTAGTATGCTCTTAGTATTTCATCTTATTTTCAAGAAAAATGGATATTTGGATTATTTTATATTTTTACAAAATAATATTTTTTAGAATATGCGTGCGTTATTTTTTTACTGTCAAAACAAAAACATTTTTTAGTTAATCAATCTATTTTTTTCTTTTTTGAAAATAATCGCCGGATTTATTAATAATAAATAAAAGAATCTTGAGAATGTAAATGGACATTGGTGCTAGAACTAAAATGAACGGCTTAGAAAATAACACCTTTCCTAAAAAATAAAATTCACTCTAACCCAAGTATCTGGCCATTCTTCTTCTCACAGTTCTTGAAAAAATCCTCGATGCCTTGCTCTCTGTAAGAAGCTTAAAATTAGAAGCTAAATCGACCCTTCTCCATTTTCTTCTTCCAGTCTAGGGTGGATCGATCCACCGACGGTCTTCAGCGGCCTGTCTTGCTGGCTTATCTGGGATGTCCTCAACCCAGAAACGATCCTCCTCTCCTTCTTCTTTCGCGGTGGCTATCAGTTGAGCCACTTTGTTACCTTCGCGGGGGGTGTAGTTGAATACGCATCGTTGGAGATTTTAAGCCATTTGCTGCGCGTTCCAGATTAGCGCGCTGTTCTCGGATTTGTCTGGGCTTGACGATTTCAACTTCTCCGTCACTGACCTAGAGTCTTCCTCGATTATTACTTGTTGAAACCCTAAATCTAATGCAAGTTGGATTGCATGGCCCGCCGCCACTGCCTCCGCTGCAAAGGCCGTCGATATTCTATGGGTAAGTCTCCTGCATGCACCCCTTTCAAATCCTTTATTAGTTTTGATAATGACTCCTGACCAACTTTTGTTTTCTTGGATTTTGAAACTTGCATCATAAATCGCCTTCACCGTGTTTGGGGGAGGTGCCATTTTGAATCAAGACGTGGGTGCGGTCCAGAGATGCCGGTGTTAGCTATTGCGTATTCTCGGATTTCGCTTCTCACTAAGGTAATGATTTCCTCGCTCCGTATATTCATGTATTCGAACGTTTCGAGCGTACCATAGTGCCCAAATGCATATTAACGTCTCTGTATGTTTATCGTTCGAGGTTTTTTTAAACACCAACTGATACACTCCTTGAAGCTCCACTGGGTACTCTGGGAAGGCCACAGGTAATGTAATTTTTACCAAACTTCTTCGGCAAGTGAGCACTCCTTTAGGATGTGTAAGCTGGACTCTGTCTGTTCTGGGCAGAGAGGACATTGTGAATTGTTTGTGATGTGCTTATTGTAAAGCATTTGTCCAGTTGGGGCATAATTGTGGTAGTGTTTCCACGCATTTATCTTGATCTTTTGCTGACATGTACATGTCCATATCTTTTGCAAAACTGCTGCATCTGATTCTGTGTTTTCACTGTTCTCCATCAACATACGATATCCACTGCGTACTGTATATGTTCATGTATGTTCACCACACCACACCTGCACGTCTTGTTGTTCATAACTTGAAGCTGGAATGGATTTGATCTTTTCAGCATCTGTACTTAGGAAAACCCTGTCAATCAAGTCTTCACGCCACTTATTAGTACCTGGGTTGAGTAGTTCAACTACTGTTTCGAGTTCATCATTCTTTGGGGTGCTTATTAGTTTTGGTATTTTCCCTGGTAGCCAGTAATCACTCCAAATTGATATGTTCAGTCCATTACCTACTTTCCAGCGTATTCCTTTTTCTAGTAGTCCCCGAGCGTTCCATAAGCTCCTCCATATGTAAGACGGCTGCAATCCCAGTTTTGCTTTTAAAAAGTGTCGATGGGAAATATTTAGCTCGTAGTACTCGGCTAACTAAGGAATTAGGTTGATCATGTATTCTCCAGCCTTGTTTTGCCAATAATGCAATGTTGAACTTGGCTAGATCACGAAATCCCATCCCTCCATCTTCTTTCATCTTACTCAATTGCTCCCATGTACACCAATGTATGCCTTTTTTTCTTCTCGGACTTCTGCCACCAAAACCTCGCCAATAATGTTTTTTTAATTCTTTATATAGTGCCTTAGGTAACAGAAAACAATTCGTAGCACATAACGTTAAAGCTTGTAACACTGATTTGATGAAAATTTCTTTGCCTCCTTGTGAAAGTGTTCTAACGCTTCAAGATTTAATTCGGGTCCAGTAATTCTCTTTCATAGCCACAAAAGCTTTTTTTTGGGGTTCCTTCCAACTATTGTTGGTAACCCCAAATACTTTTCCAAATTTGATGTGTTCTCCACCTCCATGGTCCTTCTGACATCCACTCTGTTCGAATTGCATACGTTTGAGCTAAAGAATAATCCAAACTTATCGAAAACCTGGCCTGAGCTGCTCCCGTAAATTCTGAGTAAATCCTTAGTTAATTAAACTATTGAAATAAAATAAATACAAAATATATTATTAAGGTTGGTTTCTTACTTTCCTTACTTTATACGATGCATTCGTCAATTTCGTAATCCAAAAGGAAAAAATGGGCAAAACACGGGGGCAGCAATGTCAGCACAGTAAAGAGGGTCAGCTTCCAGGAAATGACGACTACACGTAATCTAAAATAAAAGGGGGACCATAACCGTTAAGCGTTTATATAAAGCTTTAAGCAGCCATTTGCATTAGTGTTCCAAGGCAGGACAGAAGACTCATCATCATCCACCAAACCCCCTGTGAAAGAGAGCTTCGCTTCCGATTCCTCCATGTCGAGTGATCCTTTCTTTTTATCAAGCTCCAAATCCAATCCTTGTCTCAGGTCACAGAAACCTCGGCAACCCAGTTTCGGAAATCGTTGTTTGTTGGCGGCAAAACAACAGAAGACACGGTTTTACATCTTGGGACGTTGTATCTCCATGCTTTTGTGTTGGCACGATCATTCTATTTCAGATTGAGTTCTAAGACAATACTCCGTTTGCAGGCATCCCCTCGTCCCTTGGATT